TCTGGAGTGGAAAAATACAATAATAGAAATGGAAAATTCACTAGAAAGGCCTAACAGCATATCTGAGCAGCCAGAAGAAAGAATGAGAACTGGAGGAGAGGCCAAATGAGATTATTCTGCTTGGGGAACTCAAAGGATAAAGAATAAAGAAAAATGAACAGAGCTGCAGAAATCCGAAAGACCACCAACTATGATAGCATATGCATAATGAGAGCCCCAGAAGGAAAGGAGAGGGAAAAAGAGGTAGAAAGACTACTTGAAAGGCTAGCTGGCAGCGTGTTGGTTAAGGGGCTGAATCCCGCATGACCAGCCCCATGCTTTGAGTCCAGGACCCAGTGGCTTGAAAATATGATGGACACATGGGATTTGTGCTAAAATCTTAAGAGGAGGGAGAAATGGAAGAGAAGGGATTGTAGCATGACCATCCCCCCATGATGGGGGTGCTTTCTCACTTTCTCTGGCAAGTGCATGTGCCCTCTAGTAAATTTTTTTTAAAAAGAAGAATATTTGGGGGCTGGAAGGTGGCATGGTGATTAAGGGTGCTGGACTCCCACATGGCCGACCGTGGTTCGAGTCCTGAACCTGGTGGCTTGCTTTCTCACTTTCTCTCTCACTATCACTCTCTCTTGCTCTATCTCAATCTCATCAAATTAAAATAAATAAATAAGTAAATAAAGTTAAATAAAATAATTGTTTTAAAAATAGTAATAAAAATAATTAAACACAAATTAAGACATTTTCAAACAGTAACTGAGAGTTTGTCTCTAGCAGGTCTACCCTTTAAGAAATACTAAAGGGTATCCTTGAGGTTGAAATAAAAAGGTACAAGATAGTAACCTGAACCAATATACGATAACAAAGCGCGGTGGAATAATTAATTACATGGTTAAATATAAAAGGCAGTATAAATGTAGCTTTTGATTTATTAATGCCGCTTTTAAGGATAACTGTATAAAGCAATAACTATAAATCTATGTGGATGGGCACAAACATGTATAAAGATGTATTTTGAGATTATAACAACGTAAGAGGAAGCAGAATGGAACTACACAGGTGCAAAGTTTTTGCAAACTATTGAAATTAAGTTGGTATTAATCCAAACAGAATGTTATAAATTGAAATATTAATGGTAATCCCTAGGTCATTCACCAAGAAAATAAGTAAAAAATACATTTTAAATAATAAAGAGAATTAAATGCACCCACATACCTTTAACCTAGAGCTGAGTTGGGGTAGCTCATGGTATTAAGACCCTGATGTGGGTGGGGGGGAGTCTTGTCCCTTTCACTTGATCACCATGGTGAGCTCTGTGCTTGCCAGTGAGACAGAGAGAGGAAAAGTGAAGACCTCCCCCCCAGCCAGAGAGGATAGCCATGTCACAGTCCTCTCACCTCCATTCTCCTCTGGGGATTCTGGGCATGCACATGCACCCAGCACGAGTTTTAAGCTATTGGGTCCAGGACCTGAACCATAGTTGACCATGTGGGAGTCCAAAGCCTTAACTAGTATGCCATCTGCTGGCCCCAATACATTTTTTTTTTAAAGAAGAGAATTAAAATAGTTCACTGTAAAATATGTAACACAAAGAAAGTAAGCAGTGAAAAAACAGAGCAATAAAAAAAGAAATATGATGTATAAAAAGAAATAGCAAAGCAGCAGACATAAATCCAATTTCACTGATTACACTAAATGTAAACAAATTAAACCACTCAATTAAGAGACTGATTAGAAGAACAGATTTTTATAAAACATGATCCCAATATATCTTCCCTCCAAGACACTCACTTTAGGTTCAAAGGTACAAATAGGTTAAAAATGAAAGGCTACAAAAGGTATGCATACATGCAAAGAGCAACCAAAGGAGAGTCAGAGTGGCTATACTGATTTAAGACAAAATAAACGTTAAGACAACAACTGTTACTAAAAACACAGAATGACACTTTATAATGGTAATGGGTCAATCTTTCTAGAAGACCTCACACTTATAAATACATCTGAGCCTAGTACTAAAACCCCATAATACATGAAACAAACTGAGGTGGTCTCCGAGAGGAGATAGTTAACTTTTATAATCCATTATGATGCTTCATATTCCTTTCTGTTTTTAAAGAGGGATTTTTTGGGAGGAGGGTAGTGGGCAAGTATTCCTTTCTGTTTTTAAAGAGGGATTTTTTTGGGAGGAGGGTACTGGGCAAGTGTGTTCACCAGAGAGAGAGAGAGAGACAGAAAGTGAGGAATCATCTTCTTGGGGGATGGCCATGCCACAATCCCTTCTCGTCCATTCTCTTCTTGGGATCTTGGGCACACACACACATGCACCCAGCATGAGGTTTAAGCCACCGGGTCCGGGACTTGAACTGTAGTCGACTATGTGGGAGTCTAGTGATATAACCATTTTTGCCATCTGCTGGTCCTATGATGCTCCATATTCTACCACTAGAGACTCATTCATCTGAGTTGAAGTCCTGTCTCCCTTAGAGTTCTTTATTAGACTATAAATGCAGTGCTGGAGCCAGAGTGTGTATTAATATCTCAGCTGAGATTAATTTAAGATTCTTCGGAGCAGTGACTTCTGGTGACCGAGGTGGAGCCGTTTTTGATAGAATGTACAGGCACGGCCTGGAGTGGGCCTAGTAGGAGAACAGGGAAGAGGGGAGTCCAAGGTGGCTGGAGGTATGAAGAGTAGGGGAAGAGACAAGGATGAGGAGCAGGGAGAAGCTAGAGAACCACGGGAGAGCAGAAAGGACTCCATAGACACTGTAGGGGGAAAGAAATCAGGAAGCAGAGCAGCTGGGGCACGGGCTTAGTGCAGGAGCTGGTGACTGTGCAGCAGCAGATAGAGGACAGAGCATCGGGAGTCAGGACAGGGGAGCGGATGTGGGCCAGAGACAGCAAGGCACACAGGCCATTCCGAGGTGAACACCCGGGAGCAGGAACCCGATCTGAACTCTCTGAATCCTGGGAACCACAGAGAGGAAGACTGTGGCTGGGGGCAGGAACTAGGCAGTAGGCATTGGTAGGCTGTGGGCCCTGATAGGGTAGGGAACCAAGAGACCCAAGGAACAGAGGAGAGCAAGGTCCAGGGGCTAAGCCGAGGACAAGGCCAGGACCCAGGTAGAAGGGCTGGACTAACAGATCCTCCAACTCCACTCTAGCTCCGAGGTAGTGTATGCAAAAGTGCCGGCTCTGGGAAGATATGTAATAAGGCTAATTGGTTCTAAATCTGAAACGGAAGCAAGGCAAGTGGTCTGGGCAGCGACTCAATGTGGACAGCAAAAATAGCCCCTGCTTATGAGCACTGTTACTGCTGGTACTGCGGGAAGTACTTCAGCGCGCTGAGTACTAAGGCTGGTCCTGGGAGGAAGACAGACCCCACAGATGCATGGGCAGCCTGCTTACGTAAGTCTGCTCAACATCATCACAGCGCATAACCGGCCCTGAGCCAGCGATTTGGCTGACAGTGCCGCCAGCCTCTGGGCCAGGACCACAGTGCCGGGCAGCTCTCTGATAACCATGGCAGCTTGAGAGGAATGAGGGGAAGGGAGGCTGAGAACTGGAGGCAAAGAGCTCCTCAGAGTCCCTCTGAAGACCCCATACTCAACTAGGTATTGTAGATTTTTACCATAGGGTGTGCTCGCTAGATAGAGAGAGACAGAGACAGAGTCAGGGAGAGGGAAGGTGAAAGATCACCACGCTGCAATGCCTTCTCCTCCATTTCCTCCTGGGATTTTGGACACACATGCACATGAACCCGTGTGATTTTCTTTTCTGTTTTTAAATTAAATTTCATTTATTATTGTCATAATCTTTTTATGTTACATTGAATCACACATATCTTCACAGTGTATTACATTTCTTTTTTCCAGCACAATTACCAGGCATCTCAATCAAGACAAAGACATTACTATCCACATCATCTTCATCAAATAGCTTTTCATCTTTTTTTCAGATTATTATTTATTCTCAATATTTTTTAAACATTCGATCACTATATATCATTTGGCTGGTATAATGTATTTATCCAACATGAAATACTTCTCAGACCAGTCCAGTTGAGAATACCATCCATGTCACCATGTACAGGCAGGTAATAAACCACCTCTGTGTCCCACTAATGTCATGCCTCTCTTTTTGTTCTCTGCACCCCTGTGTGATTTTCAAGCCTCTGGGTCTGGGGCTTGGACAGTGGTTGACCATGTGGGAGCCCAGCACCTTAGCCACCATGCCACCTATGGCCCTATTCTCCACCATTTTTGAAAGTGGGGCCAGAGAAGGGAGCAGCAGAGGCCTGATCACCCTTCTCCCATCGCTGTGCCTGGACTTTGGGAGATTCACGGGACGTACCCACCTGCCGGAAGCCATGCACTAGGGCCCTTCCGCCTTGCTCCTGATGGATGCACTTTGCCTAAATGGAATAACGCGGCTCTGAGCCAGGAACCAGGCACTCGGGGCAAAGGAACCTGTGGGCTTGGGGAATCCAGCGACAGCCACTTGCTCCATAGCCCAGCGGCCAGCGCTGTTTTCGGAGGGTGCCGGAGAGTGGGCTTGCTCCTCCGTGGCTGCCCATCCCACCTTCTGCTCTGTCCTCACACGCACGTGACGCAGAGATCGAGGGGCCACCCTGGATGCCCACATGTCCCCTCTCCTGCGGGGTCTCTCTAACGAGACTTCTCAGGGAAAGGCATTTCCTGGGAGTCCTCTCCAACCCTGGACTGAGGGGATCAGCCCATGAGGGAAACGAACGTTGCCGCAGCATCTGAGCAGGAAGAGCCCAGAATCAAACAGCCCAGGATGGGTGGGCCCCAGGGAGGGCCCTTCCTAAGTCGGGGGCTGCTCCTTGGCGCTCAGTCCTCTCTCGTCCCTGCGAGTCCTGGGCGAGAAAAGAAAGCTTGCCAAGTGGGCGTTGCCTGGTGACCTGCAGGGCTCAGATTCCTTGGGGCCTGGGGAGGCAGTGGGAAGAGC